ATCACATAGACATGAGACCGATTAGCAAAATAAACAGATTTAATACATACACATGGGAACCCCACACACAGGAGAGTCAGAGACCCCACCTGCGGGAGACGTAGGGAGATAGAAAGGGAACTGAGTAGATAAGACATCCTGAGCTAGGGATGGAGTCAAGTCCCTTGCGTCCTCAACTACTGTCTCCGCAGGACGGATCCTGAGCGGGGTTAAAGGCGGCGCCGCGGGCAGCGACCTCCCGCGCCGCTGCCGAGCCGCTGGCCACCAAGCCGTGAGACCCGCGCGCCCAGGGCTGGACGCCCCGGACCCCGCGTCCCTCGAGGGAGCTGAGACTCCAGGGCTTCGACGGCGGCGGCGAGCGGAGCGCTCCGCTCAGGACCCGGGCTGCTTGCAGCGCCGCCCACCCCACCGGCTCCGGGAAAGGCGGGAAGGAGGCTACCGGCCGGGCGTCTGCGGGGTCCCCGGCGCGGAAGCGCTATCGAGCCCGGCTCCACGCGACCCCGTCTCGGAGGCCGCCGGGCGGGAAGGGAGGGGAGGGCGCCGCGACCCCCCACTCCCCAGCGGCGCAGCGGGGGGGAGCTGTGACCCTTGACGGACGGACTGACCCCAGGGCACCTCCGGGTACAGAGGCGCCCACAGCAAGTGCGCCATTTCAGAGCCAGACCCCAAGGAGGAAGACGGGGAGCAGGAGCCCCTGCGAGGGAGCGGGGCTCGCGGTTCCAACGGGGGAGACGGGGCTGGGGGTCAGCAGCGCCCAGGAGGGGGCTCCACCGGAGGGGTACAGCCCCGTGTTAATTTTTATATATGGTGTTAAGTGTTGGGAGCCAATTGAGGACAGCTGGGGACACTGAGGCGGTTGCAGCCTGCTGCATGCCTCTATGCAGGACCCTGTGCCTAGGGGAGCGGCTGGAGGAGTCTGCTTAGGAACTGCATACGCGAGGCTTGGACCCCCCCCCCCCCCCGCAAGGTACCCCTTCCCACTGCAGAGCCCGCTAAGGCTTGTTTCCAGTTTCACTATGGACTCATTGCTTAGAGGATGTCGGGCCTCCCGAAACCCCTGGCCCTAGTTCCTGGGTTCTGGACGCCTGCACCCAAAGCCCCCCGCTGAAACCCCCTACCAAAATCCCCCGTGCGTAGCTAGGGAAATTTCCCTGCAAAAGAGAAAGCTGCTTTCTATATAACCAGTGTGTAGCTAATAAACAGTGGCACTCTCCGCCACCCGCGGCCAAGTGTCCCTCCTGCTCCCCGCTTTTGTCCCTATTCTCTTTATTTCTCGTCTCCACCCCCCACCCCCCAATCCTCTCAGGGACCGTTTTGCTGAGCTCCTGGCTGACGGGCCAGGGGTGTTCGGTTGAGCGAGCTGGTCCCGTTTGTTATGTGTAGAAGGCGGCTCGTAATTTTTTTCATACAGATGTGTAAGGGTTCCAGCATCACCTTTTTGAAAACTGTCCTCTTTCCAATGAACTTGACAAAAATCGATTGACTGACTAGCCAGTGTGTGGTTTTGCTCAGGACTCTATTCCGTTTCAATAATCAGTGTCTGACCTTTCAGATACGTCTTAACTACCGTAGCTTAACGATAGGTCTTGAAATCAAATAGTATATGCATTGCAACTTTATCCTTTTCAAAATTGTGGATATTCTAGCTCCTCTGCTATTCCAAACTGGGAATTTTTTTCAGCCTTCATCTCCCTATTCCTTACAACTTTTTGTTTTTTCATATTGGCTAGTTTCCTTTCCACTATCAAAAAATGTGACGTACATCCTTGTAAGTTTCTTAATTCAAAGGTATGTATCTATTGTTTTATCATTAAATGGCATTTTTGGAAAATCCTTCTTACAAAGTTAAAGGAGTTTTTATTCCTAATAACACTTTAAAATATCGATGGGTTTTACACTCCATCAAATGACTTATCTACACAGAGATAATCATATGGCTGTTCTTTTATCTGGTAGTGTGGTTATTTTTATGAAATGATTTTCTAATAGTCTTCCAAACATCATGTTTCTATTAAGATCAGATTCAGCTCCATATAACAGAACCAACTCTCCTCCCACCCCCCAGAAAGGGGCTAAAACAAGGTCGTTCATTTCTCTTTTGTGTAAAAGATACCCAGATGTTGTAGGTTATGGCGGGTATAGCAGCTCCATAATTAGCAGACAGCCACGTCACTCTTTCCATTGCATTTGAGCAGATGGCTTCCATCCTCAAGATGAATTCAGGTTTTAAGACGGCTGCTGACACACCAACCATCATGTGTTGCACACTGAAAAAAGATTAAAGGACACTGGGGGCTTTCCCCAGTTGTTTTCTTTTTAAAGAACCTTCATATCAGATTCCCTCAGCAACTTGTAATGCCATGTAATTACTCAGAATTTAGTAGCATAATTACACTCAACTGCAGAGAAAATGGAGAAAAGTAGCATTTTAGCTGATGATTCTGTCACTAGGAAAACTACAGTGATTCTGTTGGTAATGAAAGGATACTGAGCTCACTACTAATGATATACTACACTTAATGTGATGGCTTTAAAAAATTATTAGATGCATTTTGCTCGAATTCCAGTTAGGGTTTTTAATTCTATGTTCATAAATATGACTTGCAAGTCATTGCCCCCAAAATGTCAACATTCCTGGCTTCTGTGCATGGTTGCAGGTGCTTATTCTATGTGTGTAAGTTCCTTGGAACATCAATGACAAAGTACACATTCGTATTTTCCAGATTTAGGGGATATACTTTAACAAATATCTGAAATTCTTTCCCCAAACTTTCTTTTCCCTTCTGTTAATCATCATTCTTCAGCCCAGGTCTCTTGAGAACGTATCCTGTATAATGAGCTGAACACAGTAAGGATTGGTCATTCAGACATTATTAAGTACTTCTTTCATGTAAGAAACAGTTTCTTTGGTAAGAGATGGATTCCCTCCCGAAGTAAAGAGCAGAAACCGGTGTTTCAGAAACATTTGCAGTTTCCAATCTTCATATTCCAAGATAGTCCTAATCTGACTGCCAGGGACCCAACTCTTCCAGTTTAGTGCTCATTCACATAAGGAAACTGGTGAGGTTGTCAAGAAAACTGTAAGTAAGCAACTGGCAGAATGATGTCTCACTCTACAACTATACACACATATTCCAGCATCACTGAAGTGTATTACAAACGTACCACACAGCTAAAATAAAGTGAACTAAAATTAAAAATGACAATAGCTAAAGCTATGCAGGGTAATCTACATAGAAGGGGCTAATTAATAATTGCAGCAAGATGCTACTAGGGAACAAAAGCTCAGCTCGCTTTTCTATTCTGCAGGAATCTGGAGGACCTCCACCCACTTTGGTGATGATGCCAAGTCCTTGGCAGGGCACCTTGAATGACAACCACATCATGAGTGTATACCCTGTGAGGCAGGATCGCTTTTAAGACATCAGGATGATCTAGCCAGTTAGGGCATGAATGGGATGTGTACCATATTGATGCAGATAACTAAAGAGGTAGCTGCCAGGCCCCCTTACCAAGAGTACAAAACCAGAGAAAAGATGTCTACTACTAAAGTGTATTTTTAATAAGTTATATTATTCTAGTTAAAAATTGCATTTATTAGGAATGTTGTATGCAGAGTAGAAATCCCTGGGAAATGGTACTGTATTTAACATATCTACCATATGTGGCACTTATAAATAAAATGCCAAACTGTACAAAACTCATAGTACATAGAAAGACGACATCTAAACATCCCTGTCTTATGATGTGTTTCTCATCCAGATTACTTTTACATACTAAAAAAACAAATCTTTATATTTTATTATAGTTGAGTAGTTTCTTCAATCTTTTCAGAAAAGTTTGGAACATCTGGAACATAATTTCCCTTAAAATAACTTGTAAAAGAAATTTTTCCAAATTAATGAAAATAATAGTAAAGGGAAACTTGCTGCTGAGGCTTTACACCTTGTGACACTTTTAAAGATCCTCATTTATATATTAATATTTTTTTGGCAAATGTTTGTCATTTCTAGATAAACACTTCCCCTAACTTATGGCATGGTTTCTCCATAATATGAGCTTCTGATACTGAAAGTTTTTAAATTTTTGACAATTCCGCCATTTATTTGTTTTGTATTTTCTCCCATAGAAATCATAGTGTTTAATAAACTATGAATTTCAAAGGAGTGTACTCTATATTCACTTGCTTTATGGAATTTCCTCTTTGAGGATTTTATCATATTAAAAAACGGATTTCATGGGCCAGGCAAGTGGTTCAGTTGGTTAAGAGCGCGAGCTCTGAGCAACAGGGTCACCGGTTCAATTCCCACATGGGCCAGTGAGCTGCACCCAAGCTGAGCTGCCAACAGGTGGCAGGATGGCTCAGTGGTTAGAGCGTGCACTCTTAGCAACAAGAATTTCTCGTTCAACTCCCACATGGGATGGTGGCTACACCCACCCACAACAAAGAGTGAACACGGCACTTTGAGCTGAGTGGCCATGAGCTCCTGATGGTGGCCACATGACAAATGGACTTGGAGCTGAGCTAGTTGCGTCCTCCACAACTAAGATTGAAGGACAACTTGGCAGTTCCCCTTCCCTAATAAAATCTTAAAAAACCCGGCTTTCCAACATTTGTTTCATTTATATGGTTCCTCACCTGTATAAACTTATGTATTCATGGAGTTCTTGTGTGCGTTTTCTGATATGCTTTTTACATATAAACACACCTTTGTGTGTGCACCCTTGCACATGATATGAGCTTATAAGGTTTCTGTTCAATATGAGTTTTCAGGTATGTGAGATGATTCCATTTATAGAGTTTCTCTTCTATATGACTTTACTGGTATTCCCTGTAAATTTACTTTTGAGAGAAAGTTTCTTACATTTAATTCATCAATGTGCTTCTCATCTGCATGAGTTCTCTGATGCATAATGAGTTGTGACTTCCAACAAAAGGCTTTTCCACATTCAGCACACTTACAGGGTTTCTCTCCTGTATGAGTCCTCTGATGTGCACTCAGAATTGACTTCTGAGAGAAGGTTTTTCCACATTCATTACATCCATAGGGTTTCTCCCCTGAATGAGTTCTGTGATGTACAATAAGATGAGATTTCCTAAGGAAGGCCTTTTCACATTCACTGCATTCATAGGGTTTCTCTCTTGCATGCATTCTCTGATGTACAAGAAGCCGTAATTTTCCACTGAAGGCTTTCTCACACTGGCTGCATTTATAAGGGTTTTCCCCTGCATGAGTTCGCTCATGTACAATGAGTAGTGACTTCCAAATGAAGGCTTTCCCACATTTGTTACATTCATATGGTTTCTCCCCTGAATGAGTTCTCATGTGTATAATGAGGTAGGACTTACTGCTAAAGGCTTTCCCACAGTCACTGCACCCATAAGGTTTTTCCCCTGCATGAGTTCTCTGGTGTGAAATGAGCTGATCTTTCCTATTAAAAGCCTTCCCACAGTCACTGCATTCATATGGATTTTCTCCTGTGTGAATTCTCTGATGCACAATGAGTTGTGAATTGAAACTGAAGGATTTCCCGCATTCATTGCACTCATGTGGTCTCTCACCTGTATGAGTCCTCATGTGTATAATGAGGTAGGACTTGCTCCTAAAGGCCTTCCCACATTCACTGCATCCATAAGGTTTGACACCCGTGTGGCTTCTCTGATGTACAATGAGCTGTGACTTCAAACTAAAGGCTTTTCCACACTGGTTACATCCGTAAGGTTTTACCCCAGTGTGTGTTCCCTGATGTACAATGAGCTGTGACTTGAATGTAAAGGCTTTCCCACACTCACTACAACTATAGGGTTTCTCCCCTGTATGGG